GGAAAGAGATTATTCCATTTTCTTTAACTTCTCTTTCCTCGGCACCACTGCTTTGCGAACATAAGGCAATGTGAATAGTAGACTCAAGAAGAAGACGTGGCCAAGGAAATAGACGGATTTATACACCTGTGGAGGGATACGGGCCACCGCAGTAGACAGAGGGCCTGGATTCAGCCCCACTGCCTGAGCTTTCAGTGGCTCCTTCCCCTCCTGGCAGGCAGGCCCTCGTGTACCTTCAGCCATTTGTCCCACGTGAAGAGGCAGAAGGCAGTCATCGAGTAACCCATGAAGAGCCAGTGGATGGTCTGCTGCACCAGATAGTAGAGGGGCTGCAGGACCCTGACGGAGGCCAGGCTGCTCAGGGCTGGGCTGTCTTGAATCAGGCTGGCAGCCTGTGGAGGAAGGGGAGAGGGCTCAGCGTCTTACCCCTTCTCAGGCCCCTTTCATCCACCACCCTTAAGGTTTACCTGTCTTTCCACAATAACAATGAGGAACTCCATCTGAAAGCAGACCAGGTACCCTGAGTGGAGGCCGTGCCAGAGGGACAAGAATAGCAATGAGAGGCCCTGGGATAGTTGTTTATTTCCAAGGAACTTGAGTCGTTTGAAGAAGTAACTAGAGAGAAGGGTGAGAAAGGATGAGACTCAGATCCATCCTGCCTCTGGGTTCTTGGAGCCCTTAGGGGTGCAGGGGTGGTGGCTGCTCCCACCGGGCCCCCTGGGGGAGGGGAGGCAGTGCCCTCTGATCACTTTATTTATTTATGGCTGCGTTGGGTCTTCGTTGCTGTGCGTGGGCTTTCTCTAGTTGCGGCGAGCGGGGGCTACTCTTCCTTGCGGTGCACGGGCTTCTCATTGCGGTGGCTGCTCGTCGCGGAGCACGGGCTTCAGTAGTTGTGGCTCGCGGACTCTAGAGCGCAGGCTCAGTAGTTGTGGCGCATGGGCCTAGTTGCTCCGCAGCATGTGGGATCTTCCCAGACCAGGGCTGGAACCCGTGTCCCCTGCATTGGCAGGCGGATTCTTAACCACTGCGCCACCAGGGAAGCCCCTCCGATCACTTTAGATTGAAAGGCAGTGAAACCGAAGAGTCACGGTTTAGAAAGAAAATAGACGTAAGGCTCAGCTGGGGCCCCGCCTGGTACAATGGGTAATGATGGAGGGCCTGCCAGGCGCCTGGTGCTGAGGCTGCAGCGGTGAGCGGGGCAGGCCCTGCACCCATGCTGCTGACAGTGCCCCCACTCGTGGTACTGAGGAAGTGTTTGTGAACATAAGGCCAGCAGCAGAAGTGGGGTGAAAACCCAGCACTTAAGGCCATGTATGCCTTGTTTCTGTCTTTCAAAAATGACAGGGATGGGACTTCCCTGTGGTACAGTGGTTAAGAATCCGCCTGCCAACGCAGGGGACACGGGTTCCAGCCCTGGTCCGGGAAGATCCCACATGCTTCGGAGCAACTAGGCCCATGTGCCACAACTACTGAGCCTGAGCTCTAGAGCCCGTGAGCCACAACTACTGAGCCCAGGTGTCACAGCTACCAAAGCCTGCACACCTAGCGCCCGTGCTCTGCAACAGGAGAAGCCACCGCAGTGAGAAGCCCGCACACCACAATGAAGAGTAGCCCCCGCTCGCCGCAAATGGAGAAATCCCGTGAGCAGCAACGAAGACCCAACGCAGCCAAAGGAAAAAAAAAAAGACAGGGACAGTTTGGGGGGGTTGGGTTGGGGACAAAAGTGGGTGTGGCTGAGGGGTGTGAGAGTGACTGACGGGGGGCCCCCCGAAGTGGGGAAAGCTGGAGGAAGTGACGTGCGACCTCCCTGGCTGGGTGCTTACCGGGCCACCCAGGCGTTGGTGTTGATGTTGAAAGAGGCGATGGTGCCCGTGAAGCGGGGGTCTGTCTCAAAGAGCCACACCTTCATGTTGGCGCAGGTGTCCCACTTGGCCCTCCCGAGCTCGTCAAGGCCGTGGAAGCCCAGCCCCGTCAGGATGCACACGCCTTCCTGAGGGAGCCACGGCGTAAGCAACCCCGCCGCTCTGCGCCGCACCCAGCCTGCAGCTCATCTCTCTGCGGCCCTGGGCCCTCTCTCCTTACCGTGACCAGCCAACAGGCGACGTATTTGTACAGCACAACCTTGCCCCAGACCAGCATGTACATGCAGCGGAACCAGAAGCTGTGGTTCTTGACAGGAGAGAAGGCATGAGCATTACGGACACCGCCAGGCCAGGAGGGGCCCCCGTGCTCCCCGTCCTCACATGTGTGGCTGACTGCTACCCTGTGTCCCCCCGACGGTCTGCCTAACTGCTCTGCAACAGGCCAAGGGGACCCAGCAGGGAGCCCCCTCGGAGAGGCCCTCAGACAGTGCCGCCCTCAACTCCTCTCCTACAGAGCCGGGCACCTGGGACACGAGTGCTGGGGGACTTTCACATCCACGTTCGATGTCAGCTGAAGGAGACCAACCTCCCCAGAGCTGGGACGGAGCCTAAGCCAGCACTCCCCCTCCCTGGGTCCTGAGCTCCTAGAGCCCTGGTCTGCCTGGGACGGAGGGGGCTCGAGCCGCCTGGCTGTAAGAGGGCGAGCTCGAGCCGCTGGGGGAAGGTCGGGGTGCTGAAGTGCACCTGGCACAGCCCTGTGCCCGCGAAGGTCGTTCAGTGCTGGCTGATGAACGGGTCCCGGCCCGGCTGGCATTGACACCAACTCTCAGATCTAGAGCAAAACCAACACGCGTTTGTAGGTGGTGTTACCCACTTCTCGGTTATCTATGGGCTCCTGGCCTGGCCACTGTCTATCTCTGGCGCAGTCGCACTGCTGCTGTTCAGGAAGCACTCACTTCGTAGTCGTCAGTGAGGAGATAGTCTTCTGTGATGTGCTGGCTGAGCAGGGTGTAGGCCACTAGGTAGACAAGGCCCAGACTCAGGCGCCTGAGAGCAGGTACGGTGCTGGAAAGGAACAAACAAGGAACAAGCGGGGTCACCACGGGTGGAGGCCCCTCCCTTCGCCCTCCGACCTTCACTAGGGAGCAGCTTCCCAGAGTGAGCGCAGCCTTAGGGCCGGACATGAGGATGGAGGGTGCAGACCCTGTGAGTTCTGGGGTGGGGGTGGGGCAACGGGGGGGGCGGGCCGGGGAATCTGGGGTGCTCGCCCTCAGGGGTCCCGTGGACCTCGAGGGCTCCCCCATGTGCTCGGGCTACATCGGGACTGCAAGCCCGATGCAGAGACGGGGAAGGACCGGTTTTGGATCTGCTCCCTCCTCTCCTGGCTGGATTGATGCTCAAAGGCAGGCTGGACAAGTTCTCCACAAAGGGATTTTCCTGGTAACTTATCCATCTTCTACGGTAAGATATATTTTTATATATATAGATTTTGATATATTTAACAGCAGTTTTTAAACTGGGAAAGTGAGTGTTAAAGGCAGGGACATGACTGGTTCAGGCAAAATCCTATGGCATAAAAGTGAATTTTTATTGTTTGTACTACAGGGTCGGGAGGGGTGGGGGGAAGTGACGCAAGCTGAAAAGGGCCCCCTTCCTTCAGTGAGCAGGCACGGAGCGCCCATCACAGGCCGTGAGCCAGGGCCAGGCCAGAGAATGCAGCCGGCCGGCCTGCAGGAAGTCACTTCAGAAGTGGCTTTGTGTCGGGCGAGACGCCTACGCAGACGCCCTGACTGAAGGGGGCCGTTACCTGTTTGGTATCTTGCCTGGTAGGTCAGTCAGCTGTCCCTGCACCAGCTTCATGTAGTGGTTCATTGAGAACTGGGGCCCCACCAAGAAGGCCCCATAGAAGTAGGAGAAGCCAGCAACCTCCAGCAGGGAAGGGACACCCCGTATGGCGTATTTCTGTTGCTCAGAGGACAGGGATTTCTATGCCGAGAAGAGAACGAATGGTTCAGGACCCCAAGAGCCAGTCTGAGGGCTCCCCACCCTTGTCCCCACTGATCCAGCTTCTTCAAATAGAGCCTCTCTGAGGGGATGACAGCACAGAGAAGAGTCGGTGCTTCAGGGGGTAACGGGCACGCGCAGGCGCAGCTTGGCCTAGGCCGGCTGCTGCTCTTCCCAATGCCTTGCTGGCCCTGATCTCTGGACTCTGAGCTAGAGCTGGACCCGGGCAATTAGACTTGTCGGTCCTTGATCAGTGTGGCCGGAAATGGCAATCGCACGGGCGGGCATGAGGGCATGGGGATAACAACAGCCGTCCTCCTTCCCTCTGGTTAAACTCCTTCACGTCTCTGCGGAGGGAGGGGTACTTACTTGATCTTTCCCTCCATCATAGTAGTCGATGGCGAGACCTGAGCAGAGAGAGAAGGTGTGGGTGGAGAGGAGGGAGGGGACACGGGACGTGGCCAGGAGCGCATGGGGCAGGGCCCGGGGTAAGCCTATGGTCTGATGAGAGGAGCCTGGGTGTCAACGGGGAAGGCAGGGCCCCACCACTCACCGATCAGCTTCAAGGTCAGGACACAGTGTGGCATTGTCCACTTGATATCGTAGTTGCCAGTGGCTGTGTAATAGTATCCGGCAAGAAGGTAGGCCTAGGAGAGGGGCGAATATTTATTCTACCATTGCTATGATTTATTTTCTCCCCGCTCTGAAATCCAAAGTACCCTTTTCACTTTTCCTTTCTCCTGGTCTAGAACCTGAACCTGTAAAGGGGAAGAGACGTCCTCAACGCTTACACTCTGTGGCTCATTCTACGTGGATTTTCTGCCTTGCCTTTAAGGGACTCCCCTCATGGACAGCTGGGCTAATCTGGTCAGACTCAAAGAACCCCAATGGCACAGTCCTATGCACAAAGGACTGCCGGCACCCCATCCTTGAGGCGGGTGAAGCATCGTCACTGCAGCCTGGAGATGAAATACCTGGGGCTTCTGGCAAGTGACCCAGCGCCACACTGCCAGGTGTCGTGGGGAGAAAGGATTAGAAACTGGATCTCCCAGTCCACGGCTTCCTCTGTACCACAGTCCCCATCCTCCCCGCCCCCAACTGCTGTCCGCTGTGACCTGAGCTGCCCAGGGAAAGACGTTTACCATCTGGAAGCAAAAGGTAGTGAGGACGGCAGTGATGGTGTGGCCCATCAGCCGGAGGATGAGGAACTGAAGCATCACGCATAGCAGGGAGTGATAGAGCTGGATTCCTGGATGCGGAGGAGAGAGCAAAGTTTTGCCTGTTTTCTTCTGCATTCCCACCCTTCCTGAGACTTCCAAACACAAAGAGAATATATACATATAAAAAAAACTTTGGTATTAGGATTTTTCTTCTTTTTTAATAGCCTCATGTTTTGGAGGAAGGGAGGGAAATTAACTGTATAAATAGAAGGGACTGCCAGGGAGTTGCTGCATTTCTGACCTTTGGGCCTGCGGGATGCTCCTGAGGGGACTGCTTGGGTCTGTCGGCCAGTTCCAGCCACAGCAGAGACAAACTGGTGCTTCTCTGTTGATGGTGTCTGGTAAGGGTACCCATTCTCAACATGCTTTTACCGGGGAGAGGAATGTATGTGAAGGGAGAAGTTAAGCTCGTGTCCCTGCCCATTACAAACCCTCTGCTACCAGGGCCTCGCAACTTCCCTCTCCATCAGATTCTCTCCAGGAAATTTTGTTCAGGTCTGTTCCTTCCGAGGTTCCCTGTAATCACAGTGCTCAGTTCACTCACCAAAGTTATAATAAGCAATTGAGAGGCCTGTGAAGGTGTGGAAGAGATGGATGAGGTAGCTGTCCTTGTAGAAAAGGTAATGCCGGTAAAACAAAGCCAAGGGGTAACCTGGAGGGACAGGAGAGCAGAAGAGGGTTACTCGTGCCTGGCGTCCGCCCAGGTTTGTTTCGGAAGGTGATCTGGCATGAAACTCAGCCCAGAGAGGAAAAAACATGCATTATATGGATGTCTACAAAGACAGTAACAGCATCCCCAATTATCAAAAGAAGTCTCTTTGTAAATACAAATTTAAAACTGAAGGTATTTTCTATTGAGGCAATACAAACTGGGTCTGAAGACCAGGTTTCATTTTTGGCTTATTAAATATTGCTAGGAATTTTCTCTTGCATTTTCCTTATATGATACAAGGGATTCAGGGTGCCCAGAAACACCATTTTACACCTTTATGATCTATAATAATTTCATCACTAGCAGAGTATTATCAGTCGGATTAGTTTTTCTTTTTTCTTTCTTTTTGTTTTGGCTGCCCGGCATGTGGGATCTTGGTTCCCTGACTAGGGATCGAACCCACGCCCCCTGCAATGGAAGCGTGGAGTCCTAACCACTGGACCACTGGGGAAGTCCCTCAGTCAGATTGTTAAGAGGATAAATATAAATTATTCCCGGCTACAAACTGGGGTTGCTGACGGCATATACAGTTGCATAGCAGTTACAGGACACATGTAGATACTCCTTACATAATGGGCATCGACCAAGTTATAAATCCAACTAGGTACACTGGGAAAATGTCTTCTCAAGCCGTGATTTAGAGTATGGTCCCGGGGCTTGACTGAACTACAGGGGATCGCCTGATGGGCCATGAACTGATGATGCACGGCCAAGGGTTGTTTACTGAATTAAAAAGGGCCAACAACATTTGTTATTCCTAAACTAAAATTAGCATGTTCCCTGGTTCTACTACAGACCCACATTCAGTGTTCCATCAAGAAGTCTGGCTGATGTGCTTGGCAACCTTCCTACTGCAGTAGCGTGTGTACGAAGAGTCAGGATCCCTACTGTTCTTTGGAAGGACGCTTTACCCAGTCTATCATTGCATAATCAGTGTTCTGAGCTGGTCATGGTTTACAGCTGCTGCAATTCTTACTTTTTTTTTCTTTTTTTGGCCACGTGGCTTGCGGGAATCTTAGTTCCCTGACCAGGGATAGAAACTGTGCCCTCGGTAGTGAAAGCCTGGAGTCCTAACCACTGAACCCCCTGGGAATTCCCCTTACTTTTCAGTCATAAGTTGCAGTTAGTTTATCATTGGCGATATAGTTGTGAGTTTGGTTAACTCTGCAAGGCTTAGATGAGTGTCATACATAAAGTGCTCAATTATTTAAGTGAATAAGTAAACGGATAATCATGTTATATATTAGCTTATGTCCTTTTAGTCTTTTTTCCCATAATTTTTTTTTTAAACTTACGATCACAACCTGTGTACTCATGTATCCTAGTTTTTTCACACAACAGTGTATCAACCATTTATCTTCTTGGTGCCAGGATTTACTGGTGTTCTTTTTTTTAAAATTTATTTTATTTTTTAATTTATTTTTGGCTGTGTTGGGTCTTCATTGCTGTGCGCGGGCTTTCTCTAGTTGTGGTGAGCGGGGGCTACTCTTTGTTGCGGTGCGCGGGCTTCTCATTGCGGTGGCTTCTCTTGTTGCAGAGCACGGGCTCTAGGTGCGTGGGCTTCAGTAGTTGTGGCATGCGGGCTTCAGTAGTTGTGGTGCGTGGGCTCAGTAGTTGTGGCTCGCGGGCTTAGTTGCTCCATGGCATGTGGGATCTGCCCAGACCAGGGCTTGAACCCGCATTCCCTGCATTGGCAGGCGGATTCTTAACCACTGCGCCACCAGGGAGGCCCGAATGAGATTCTTTTGTTTGGACAGGCCATACTTCATTTACCCAATCATCAGTTGAGGGACATCTGGGTTGTTTCCACTTTGGGGGTATTAAGAATAAGGGTGCTGTGAACATTCCTGTACAACTTTTGGTGTGGTGTATGTTTTCAGTTCTCTCGGGTATATACTTAGGAGTGGACCTCTTGGCTCTTTTATCCTCTGACTAGCCCTTCTTGGTCAGTGGTGTAGACCAGTTTTCAAAATTTCCCATGCATTGTGGACCAATACTTTTGTAAAATACAAAGTCATGGGCTTGGATGATGTGGCACTATGGAGTGGCTACAAAAGTTCCTAAATGTTTACTTTTCATTCATTGTGCTTGCTTTGAGCTTTGCCTTGGCCAAGGGTGGTGACGCAATTCAAGTAGATCGCGCCAACCTCTCTTTCTTTGTCTCTTTCACCCAAGGCTTTTCTCTGGCTTCTGAATACAGCTGACCTCCAGGAGTCAGCCCTGGTCCTCTGCTATTCTTCTTCTTTTTTTTTTTGCGGCACGTGGGCCTCTCACCGTTGTGGCCTCTCCCGTTGCGGAGCACAGGCTCCGGACGCGCAGGCTCAGCGGCCATGGCTCATGGGCCCAGCCGCTCCGCGGCATGTGGGATCCTCCCTGACCGGGGCACGATCCCACGTCCCCTGCATCGGCAGGCGGACTCTCAACCACTGCGCCACCAGGGAAGCCCTGCTATTCTTGCTATACTGTCCTCTGGAAACTCCATCCACTCTCACGTAACTTAATGTGATCTTTAGGCCAAAGCAGGTCCACATCTTTAATCCTGACTTCTCAAGTTTCAGTTCCACATTTCCTACTTCCTGGCTGGGCATTTTCAGTTTGATATCACATACCATCTCAAACTCTGAGTGACTACAACATGGACTTTCCCCCGAATCAGTCTTCTCTTGGCTTCTTTTGTTTGTTAATGGTGTTACTGTTCTCCAGGCCACACAACTACATTCAAAGGCTTGAAGTTGTCTTTGCCTCTTCCCTCTCCTTGGTTCCCTATACCTATAGCCACCAAATCCTGTTGATTCCTCCTTTCCAGTGTTTCTCACCACCGTCACACCCCGCTCCTTTCCTGTGCTACATCTGCAGTGAAGGCCCTCAAGCACTCCCCCTTCAACACTTGCCGTGACCTCATCTCTGCCTGCAGCCTCATCCTCCAACAATCCTCCACCAGAGGGCTCTTCCTGTAACCCCTGCTCAGAAAACATCAACGACTCCAGCTGACTACTCAACACAGTACCAGTTCTCAAGCCGAAGATTCAAGGTCTATCTTCTAAACTACATTTCCGGTTGAAGCCTCTATCTCCCTGCTCCAGGTGACTGATATGCTAGTTTTTGCTCAAATATATCTTGTGTCTTTCATCTCTAGACCTTCGCTTGTGCCAATGCCTTTGGGTGGGACCTTCTCCAACCACTCCTCTACCCAGTAGAGTCCTACCCATTCTCGGAAACCCAGTTCAAGTGTCTCCTCCTTTAAGGCTACCGCAGACCATGATGAACTCATGGCCCTGTGCGTTATGGACTCATTCCTTAAATACGTGGCACTTAGGGCGAAGACTCTCATTTGGCAAATCATTGTATACAAGAAATTGCCATCCCTTACATTCTTGTTTTATCTTAAAATTAACACATGTTCACAATCTCTTTTCCTAAAGTCCTCCTATACCTTTGGATCTCCCATAGCATACTATCCTGTGTACTTCATTTTTTGATTGGTTGACCAACAGTAATTGACACTTAATAGCCATTTGATGTTGAGCGTCAGTTTCCTCATCTGTAAAATGGGGACAGTACCTGCCTCAATGAGTTGTTGTAAGGACTAAAGGAGATAATGCATATAAAGTAGTTAGCACGGCCTAAAATATTGTAAGTGGTCACAAAAATTATACACACAGACACACACACACACACACACACATTCACATAAAGTTGGAGTTTGTAAAGCAGGCCTTAACTGAGAAATTCTGGTGAAAGTGGGTATCAGGGCTTCTGAATCTAATCTCCATTCCATGTGACAAATGACTAAGGGATTTCCTTCCCATCTTCATTTCAAAAGAAGAGTCACAGCATATTTATTTTATAAGGATACTGATTATGGTTTGCCAAGAGTATTTTTTCTAAAATGCAACGTACAATTAAGGCACTGTATGGTTAGAAGAACACGAACTCTGGAGCTGAGACAGATCTCAGTTTGAATCCCGGTTCTGCTACTTACTAGCTGCTCCCTCAGGCTGGTTGATGAGCTCATTTTTTTTGGTCCTCAGTTTCATCAGTAAAATGAGCATCTAGGTTTGGGTTCATATATTAAGCCTGGTACATATTAGATGCTCAGTAAGTGTGGGACTGCTTCGACCTCTGCGTTGACAGAGAAGTGCCCGGCGATCTCATCCAGCCACACGGCTTTAAATACCATCTGTTTGCTGATGGCTCTCAAATTTGTTCTTCACACTCATGTACAACGTGGATTGGGTGCACGCCTAACGGATATCTCAAATTTAACAGGTGTCAAACTGAACTGCTGACACATCTCCCTCACAAAGCCTGCTCCTCCCCTGGCTTCCTCATTTCAGCAAACGCCAACTCACCTTTCTGCTCACTCGAGGCTGAAGCTCTGCGACCTTCTCATCCTCCTGAACCCCACCCTCACCCTGCAACCAGTCTGTCAGCAAACTCTGTCTGTTCTACCTTCAAAGTGGACCCGGAATTTGACCACTTCTTCCCCTGGTCCAGGTCAATGCCATCTCTGGCCTGTACCATTAAAAAAATTTTTTATAGTATTTTCTGAAATTTTTATTTATTTTTGGCTGCGTTGGGTCTTTGTTGCTGCACGCGGGCTTTCTCTAGTTGCGGCAAGCGGGCTTCTGCTTGCGGTGGCTTCTCTTGTTGTGGAGCACGGGCTCTAGGCGCTCGGGCTGCAGTAGTTGTGGCATGTGGGTTCAGTAGTTGTGGCTCGTGGGCTCTAGAGCACAGGTTCAGGAGTTGTGGCTCACGGGCTCTAGAGCGCAGGCTCAGTAGTTGTGGCGCACGGGCTTAGTTGCTCCGCGGCATGTGGGATCTTCCTGGACCAGGGCTCGAACCCGTGTCCCCTGCACTGGCAGACGGATTCTTAACCACTGTGCCACCAGGGAAGTCCCTCTGGCCTGTACTATTACAGTCGCCTCCTGACTAATCGC